TAGTAAGTTCCAGGCCAGCCAGAGCTACATAGTGAGACTGTTTTAAAAAATGATAAAGCATCCACATTTTAGAAAAGAAAAACAAAATTCTGTAAGGAATTTTGGATGCCGAACATCTGAATTCTAAGCCAGGCTTAATGCCATTTCCTAAGCTCAAGTTTCCTCCTCCCTAAATTAAAGGGGTAGTTTATGTTATACAGTCCCTGGATTTCATCTAAATGTCGAAGACTACTTCATCTTTGTCCCTATCAAAGTTTCCATCATATTGTTGTCTGGACATCTGGGATGCTCATTTTCCTTAAACCATCCCACTCTACTCAGGACATTTCTTCCCTAGTTACACCTACCTCATCTTTAGGGAACCAAGCATCACTTCCCAAGGAAAACTTTTCCTGAGCGTTCACCCACCTCTGAGCCACCCCAAACCAAGTCCACATTCTATGTTGTAAGTTTTCAGACGCTTAAAGTTTCCTTTATTGTATTTACCAGTTTACATTTAAACATTTGTGTCACCACTGGCTTCATATTTGTGAGTACCACGGGACTTTTAGCTTGAACATTGCTGGGATGTGCTAGTTTTATTATTTTTGTCTCCCAATGACAGTGTCTAGCATATAGCAGATGCTTAAAAAGAATTTCTGAAATTAAGTAACATAGGGTCTGTTTTAGCAGTAACAGCTCTATGAGTACACACTATGAGAAGATGATGCCTCAGTCCAAGAATAAATGGGGCAGTGACAGTGTTAGGCAGCAGGGCAGCTGTGTGAGAAAAGTATGTGGAAATGTATGAGCCTTTCAGGAACTGTATCATCATAGCCCCTCAGTGCCTTAATAAATATGCATAAGGCTTACAGATTCTCGATTTTTAAATCTTTTTAATTATTTTTATTTTATGTATATGAGTGTATTGCCTGCCTGTATGTAAGTGCACCCATTTTGTACAATGCCACAAAGGTCAGAAGAGGGTGTCAGATCCCCTGGAACTGGAGGTAAGGAGTTATTAGCCACCATGTGGGTGCTGAGAATTGAACCCAGGTCTTCTACAAAAGCAGTCAGCACTCTTAACTGCTGAGCCATCTCTTTGGTCCCGATTTTTAATTTTTTTTTAAAGATTTTAAATGATTTGCATTTTCAAGATTTTTTTTAAAGATTCGTTTTTATTTTATATGTATGAGTATGTACCTGTGTATATGCATATGTACCACATGTGTGCCTGGTACCCACAGAGTCCAGAAGAGGGCATTAGATGCCTTGGAACTGGAATACAGACATTTGAAAGCTGCCATGTGGATGCTGGGTCCTCTGAACCCCGGTCCTCTGCAAGAGCAGCAAGTGCTCTTAACCACTGAGCCATCTCTCCAGCTCCTTTTTCAGGATTTTTTAAAGTTATTACAGAAAATTAAATGTCCCTGGCTTGTGAAAAATGCTTGAGAGCGCTTTCTCATCACTGCGTACCCTGGTTTACTCTTATAAATGTAAATTAAAGTGAAAATCTCACACACACACACATATATATATATATATATATATATATATGTATATATATACATATATATGGATGGCAAGTAACGAAACTCACACATTTTGGTCTCAGGGGTTGCTTTCACTGTTCCAACAGTATAAGACAGGCACTATTCGCTGCTTTCTGGCCCTTTGCTGATGACCCTACACTATCCTCACTCTTTTGAACTCTTACTTTTAAAAGTTGGGGGCGGTGCACGTGTGCCACAGTGTATGCGTGGAGATCTGAGGACAACTTTTCAGCAGTCAGTTCTCACTGTTCACCTCATTAAGACAGGCTCTCTCTTGTTTCTGTTGGGTACTCCAGGCTAGCTGACCTGCAAGCTGCTGGCCAACTCTCCTGTCTCCTTTTCCTGTCTCTCCCTAGAAGTACTGGGATTGCAGATATGTGCCACTGCATCTGGCTTTTTATATGGGTTCTAGAGATGATTGAACTTGGGTTGTCAGGCTTCCACAGCAAGCACTCTTATCCACGGAGTCATCTCCCAGGCCGAGTGCTTACTTTTAAAACTGACTCTGACATTGTCTAATATGAATAAGAGGAATAATGCCTTTTTTATTTTAAACCAGGAACTGTACTGAGGCTTTACTTTTTTAGTATAAGCCAGTAATATACATTCACAGTTTATGTGGGTCTCAGATTCAGGAATGGCTAAGCTGGAGAGAGTCTGGCCTTAGGTGTTTTATGAGGCTGCAGTCAAGATGCTAAAGACTACAACCATCAGAGCCATTCACAGCTATATTTGCTTCCAAGATTGTGTCTTCACAAGCCTGGCAGGCTGACATTAGTAGTTCAGGAGAGGCCTCAATTTCTTCCCACATGGGCCTTTCAAAAAACTGTTTAAATGTCCTCATAACTTAGTAGGTGATTTCTAAAATGAGAGAGGGGTATTGGAGAGATGGCTCAGTGTCTAAGAACACTGTCTGCTCCTGCAGAGGACCCAGGTTCAGTTCCCAGAGCCCACATGGCAGCTAACAACCATCCATAACTCCAGTTCAAAGGGATCTGACCGCCTCTTCTGACCTCCATGGGCATTGCATGACACGGGTGCACTTACACACATGCAAGCAATACATTCATACACATAAAATAAAAATAGTAAAATTTTTAATAGTGAGGATTACAACACCAGACGTGGTGGTGCATGCCTTTAATCCCAGCCCTGGGGAGGCAGAGGCAGGTGGATCTCTGTGAGATCGAGGCCAGCCTGATCTACATAGTGACTTCCAGGCAGGTTGAGACTAGGGAAACCCTGTTGAAAATAATGATTAAAAGGCCTACTGTGTGACTAGTAAAATCTAGAGGTTGGAGAGGGAATTGGGACAATAAAATGGCAGCTATGGACATAAACTAAACTACCAGCAAATGCCAAAAAAAAAAAAAATCAGTGTTTCCAGGAACAAATGTTGACCATGTAGAAAAGCTGTTAAGTAGGCCACTTAGAGGTTGAAAGAACCCCAACATAGATGTAGACCACAAAAGGCCTGGCCTAGGGACTGAGGGAGGGTTTAACTGACTGATTAGAGGGATGATGCCACATATGGCCAGGACCTACACTCTGAGAGCCACAATAAAGCCCCAAATACACTTGTGACGATATCAGATAGGGATTTCCACCAGGCTATATTGCAACTTTGACAAGCATGTCCTGCTCCAGTGAAGTCCCATTAGAAGTCAGAAACTATGTGTGAAGCAAGTCAACAAACAGACACTAATGTGAGGCTTGACTAATTAACATTCATGAGTATCCTATTTTTAATATTGGTAGCTGACTCCACTGAGTGGTAGGTGCCTTGAGGGTGGGGCCCCCCTTCCTCAAGCTTCCTGGCAGACACTACTATTACAGCATAATGCCTGCCCAAATACCACTAGTTGAAGGGATTCTGAGCATCTGACACTCAGAATGTGAGCTACCAGGAGAGTTCAGTTCAGCTGAGAGAGGTGGCCTGGGAGGTGGCTGACCTGGTCACTCTCCCCAGTGGAGAGGGCGTTCGCTGGGGCCCAGTTGGTGAGCAGTCCCTGCAACCAACTGGGGCACCTCAGCTCAGCCTAGAGCAAAGAGGTGTAGGGATATATTGCTGTGTCCCAGGTTTTTTAACCAGGTTCAAACTCAGAAGCCCACCTCAGGGCCTAGAATTCACTAGGGCTAGTGGCTGTTTGTCCAATAGTCACCATGGATCACCGTAGTCGCTCACGGGGCATAGGCCTTAGAGTCTCTGCGACTCAACTTCGAGCCATCAGGTCCCTACTTCCCTTCCATGTTGAGCAGGAGGCCAGGGAAGGAGAAGAATGGGAACGGGAGCAAGCTCGTCAGAGGCCTTTTGTCTATGTGCCTCCAGAAAGTGAAGACCCACAGGAAAATGTTAAGAGTAAGTACAGACTCTCAGTCTCTTAGTCCAAAAGGGGGGCCCGGGGAAGACAGAAGACCAGAAAGCACAGTGGGGCGAACTGGGGTGAGACAGGAGTTTGGAAGAGACAGATTGTCTTCTCAAGTGAGTAGGGCAAAAATATGTGAAAGTAACTTCAATTGGAAGAGGAGTCTTGCAATTACCAGGTCACTTAGGAAATCAGTGGGGGAGCGGGAAGGGGGGGGACGGG